AAGCACCACATCCAAGGCAACATGTGCAACGTAAATAGCCAACCACAACCACAGCCACAGCCACCATTACCTGCATTGGATCGCATCCACACATACATACTTACATACCAGCCATGACATTGAAGAAAAAGAAACAGACAAGAAACGGCATCACAACTCCTCATGAATGGGCACTTTCGTGCACAAATCTCCAAACCGCACTCCCTTGAAAAGCGACTCCACATCATCATCTTCACCAGATGGCTCATACCCCGCTTGCGTGAGCTGACTGATCCACCGGTGTCGAGTCTCCTCGGAGAGATCTTCCCATGTATGGATACCTGAACCAGTTTCTGATGCAGAAGATGGATCAGTCGAGTCAATGCGGAGGGTATTCGTCTCCGGGTTGCAGTTTATCAAGAGCGATTGACGCTGCTGTTGCTGCAGATTCTCCGAAGAGTGTAGTATATCGTTCAGTGAACGGATTTGCGCAGGGTATTCTACTTCAGGGACGGGAGTAGAACTAGGAGAAGAAATGAACGAAGAAGACGAAGGGGTAAAAGGATCATAAGGGACAGCGACAGCATCGCGGATACTCGGCGGTAACCAGTCCTTCGCGCCGAGGTAAGGAGGCATGGCGCCACGGATCTCGGTGAAGGCCTGGAGGATGAAGCAGACGGTGAGGATGGAGAGGATGGCAGCGAAGCTGGAGGTGAGGTTTGTCCAAATCTCGGAACCGCCGGGCATGGAGAGGACGTAGCGCGGGGAGCGGCTTGTCGGGGGGCATGGGGATAAGGGGAGGGTATGGACGACGACGGTGTTGCCCATGCTGACGGAGGCGAGTTTGATGTATTGCGGGGGAGTTTCGGGGGAGACGGGGAGAGATGGGGATTGGAAGCGGGAGAAGCAGAGCTTGGTCATGGCGAAGGGGTGGACGTCGCGGAGGGAGGTGTAGGATTGGAAAGAGTTGTAGCGGTTTGTGGAGGGGTTGAATTCGAGGGTGAGGAGCTCGATGGATTGGTCGCTGCCGGAGATGGCGATGACGGCTTGTTGTTGGTTTGTGGTGGGGTCGGGGCTGAGGAGGCAGGTGTCGAGGCCGAGGCCGATCTTGATGGTTTTGCGGAGCTTCTTGCGGCGGAGGATGGATGCTTTGGCGCCTTTGGTTGTTGCTTCTTTGGTGGGGGCGGTGGCTATGGCGGAGGTGATGATGGCGGGGCGGAGGTCTAGTAGGACGAGCTCACAGCCCTTGCGGTCTGGGGCGTTTTGGAGGAGAAGGAGGCTGGTGGAGGAGAGGAAGCGAAGGGCGCGAAATTTGGGGCGCATCCGGGGGGATTCCTTGTCGGGGATGGGGGTGGTGTAGACGCATTGTACGTCGGGGGAGGCGTTGGAGCGCGTGTCGGCGGAGATGGTGCAGATGCAGATGTCGATGCCGTTGGTGTAGGCGACGCGGAATTGGCCCTTGTTGTCGGGGAGGGGGATGAGATCAACGTCCTCGGCTTCCTCGTCGCTGTTGAGACGGATGCGTCCGATCACGTCGGATGGACTGGGGGTGGGAGTCGCGCTGAAGAAGACGATCTCGCCGGCCGGGGCAAGGCCGGTAGCGATGGCAGCGACTCGCGGGGAAGTTGAGTCGGATTGCCAGGGGGAGAGGCGCAGGGTGCGCTGGTAGGTGTCGGGAGAAGCAGCGGAGGAGGCGGAAGCTTTCACGGTGCGGAAAAGTGATGTTCGTGAAAGCGCAGTGGTTTGTCCATTGTTCGTTGTCTTCTTCTCATTCTCCTTGTTGTTGTCCTTCTCTTTCCGGGTGGGATGATCAATGCGAAAGGAACGCAGATGTTGGTTGTTGCCGCGCTTCTGCTCTGCCACGGAGCTGTTGATACCGGCGAGGGCGACGATGGCCTCATCGTCAGCCTGGACGGCGGCGAGAGAAGTGACTGAGTCCTCGTCTCGCGACAAGTTGATGTCGACGACTTCGGAGATCTCGGAGCGCTTGGAGGTATTCAAGAGGGCCTGGGGAATTGATGTGTTAGCATGGAGCTGCATAATGCATCATCTTGACCAGGGCGGAACTTGCGATTTTGTTGCCGACACCACTGCGGCCTTCACCACCACCTCCACCGACCAGAAGCAAGCCGTGATGACGCGGGTCGAAGTCGGCGGCGAAGAGCGGGCATGAGAGAGTCAGTTTGGCCGAGGGAATGGAGGGAGACATGTTGGGCGGGTTGGATCCCGGGGGATGGATGGAGTGCAATCCCCGAAGGAAGTAATTGTTATCCGAATGGCTCAGGGAAGAGATAAGTTGTAGGAGGGAGAGAGGAAGCAGAAGGAGAAGAGAAGGAGGAGAGAAGAAGCGAAGAAGAAGCCAGAATGACGAAGCGGAGAGAATGTCGATCTCTTGGCGATCGGCCGAGGCTCGAATCGATCTCCATCGTTTCTTTTTCTACTGCCAACAACTTTATTAAGATCTTTTACTATTCATGCAATCAATGAATTGAATATGGTCTAGGGCCATTGTTTCAGCCCATCTAAATAGACACAGCTTTCTTTTGGTTTAAAATTAGACAAGTTCTCTCCATCTACTCCACCTCCTGGCCAGTGAACTCGGGCAGGCGCTTGCGCACATCCTCCCAAGTCTCCTCACCCTCCACCAGGGACTTGATCGCCTGGGCAATCTCGTCCTCGCTGGCACGAACCTGCTTGGTCGAGTCACGGTCACGCAGGGTGAAAGTGTTGTCCTTGACGGACTGGAAGTCGACCGTCACACCGAACGGCGTACCCAGCTCGTCGTTGCGCGCGTAGCGCTTACCGATACTGGCAGAGGAGTCATCCACACGGTTGGACACTCCCATGCGACGCAGCTTCGTCGTCAGGCGCTGCACCAGGGGCGCGAACGACTGGTGCGTCGACAGCGGCACGATCAGCACCTTGGTCGGGGCAATTGCAGGAGGGAAGGACAGGACCTAGAAATTTATCCGTTAGCATCACGAATCAACTATTGTAAAAAAAAAATAAGAATAGGAAAAGGAAGAAGACTTACACCACGAGCCTCATCACCCTCACGGGACCAGTAGACCTGCTCGATCATGCTGTACAGGATACGACCAATACCAAACGAGGGCTCAATCACATTAGGAGTGTACTCGCGCACATTCTCCACGCGCGTGCGCTTCTCAATCTTGATCAGCTCCTTGTCCAACTCAACCTTGCCGCCAGCGACGCCCTCAACCTCCACCTCGATCTTGCCGGTCTGCTCCAGGTCGAGCGACAGCTTCTCGCGCAGCTCCTGCGACAGCGCGTCAATCGCCGCCGTCACGGTCTTTCCGTCCTTCTTGAAGCGAGGACCGAACTTCTTCTTGTCCAGGTCAATCTGCCACTCCTCCACCTTGAGGGGCTCCGCCCGCGTCTCACGGACAACCAGCGGGGCGCCGGTCTTGTTCTTGTGCACGGTCAAGTCGTAGGCGCTGCGGTCAGCGCAGCCCACACACTCGATCCAGCCGTAGCTGGTCTGCAATTCAGCATCCCAGCAGTCGGTGGCGTAGTGAGCCATCTCGTTGGCCATGTGCTGGCGGAAGCGCAGCTTCTTGGGGTCCACACCCAGCTTGAGCAGGAACAGCTGGATACGGGCCAGGAAGTAACCCAGGGTCTCGTTGTCGACCAGGCCGGTCTCGACGGCCTTGCCGATGGTCATCTCCTCGGTCTTGGTGCTGCCAGACAGCTGGATGTCGCGGTTGAGCAGGGTCATCTTGACGTCCTTGACCTCCTCGAAGCGGGCGTGCTTCTTGCCACCCTGGGGGTCGACAAAGTGCTCGATCTCAGCCATAAGGAACTCACGCACCCGCAGCAGACCGGCGCGCGGGGAGATCTCGTTCCGGAATGACTTGCCGATGGAGGCAGAGGCGAAGGGCATAGACTGCTGGTTGAACTCGAGCAGCTTCTGGAAGTTGAGGAACTGACCCTGAGCGGTCTCAGGGCGCAGGTAGCCGGGCATGTTGCTGCTGGGGCCGATCGAGGTCTGGAACATCAGGTTGAAGGCCACGGGGGGCAGGAGGTTGCCATCGGTGGTGGGGTTGCGGATGTCGTACTTGGCGATGATCTTCTCGAGTTCGGGGCCGTCGAAGTTATCGATCTGGGCGAGGGTCTCCTCGTACTCCTTGACAACAGCGTCATCCAGCTTAACCGCCTTGGTCTGCTTGACCTTCTTCTTCTTCTTGGCCTCCTTCTCCTCGTCCACCTCAACCTTCTGGCCACGGGCCTCCTTGTCGCCCTTCAGGCGGGCCTCGAGCACCTCCTCGACCAGGTGGTCGGCGCGGAAGATCTCGCCGGTCTTGGGGTCCTTGCACATCCAGTCGGCGAACTTGTCGACGTGACCACTGGTCTTCAGGATCTCGTGCGGGGTCAGCATGGTGCAGTCGACCTCGAGCATGTCCTCCTCCAGGACGAAGTGCTTGCGCCACAGATCGACAATGTTGTTCAGGACGGCGCAACCGGGCGGGCCATAGTCGTAGAGGCCGGAGACACCACCGTAGATCTCAAAGGAAGGGGTATAGAAGAGACGACGGCGCAGCATAGAGTCCAAGACGGACCGGTCGACGACCTGGCCGGTCTTGGTGGAGAGAGAAGCCATTTTGCTGGACTTCTTTTTGGAGGACGGCTGAGGAAGATGATGTCGCGTACGGGGGAGGGAGGTGGAAAAGGAACGGGGGGAAAGAAAGGAGGAGGAGCTGGCGCAAGTGGGGGGAGGACGAAAAGCCAGAAGTTGGCGATGAAGAAGACTATTGGGATGGCGGGGACAAAAAGACCGAAAAGAGGGACCCAATGCCCGCCGACACCTCAGGCCGCCCAGCCGCTGAGCGCTGCTGCAGTGACTCATCCGCCTGCCCTTTTGCTCACTCTCCACCAATCCACAAGTTTGCCGTTGATAAGGAATGCGGAGACAGGGGACTTATGCGGGGCAGTAATGGCCTCGATTCTCTCCCGACAAATTACCCTCCTTTTTCGCCAAAATAAACACGAAAGGAATCCAATTCCTGGCGATTGCCAGAAAGCTGAACTTCCCTTCATTTCCCAATCGAGCCGCGCCCTGGCTGACTCATCATGCCTATTCTCACCGCCGGATGAACGGTTGATCCGCCAGATTTTTCTGGATGGCCCAAACGGGTAATCCAATATTGATATCTTCATTTGCTTCAATTCAACTACTTCTTACCCCTCCATCGTTGACCTCAATTGCAGCAAACGATGGTCTCGAAGAAAGCATCTCACCGCCCGCCCCCGGGTGCCGGCCTCGACGCGAAGCCCCGCAACAAAATCCAGCGTCAACTCCTGCATATCAAGCGCAAGCGCGCCAAGGACTCTTCTCGCCGTGCCGAACGGTATGCCTTTAAGAAGGAAGAGGCCAAGAACCCCAAGCTGAAGGAGGAGCGTCTGAAGCGCAATATCCCCCTGACTATCGACCGCAAGCGAGTCTGGGATGATGCCGGCAGCGACGTCGAGGACGGTCTGGGACTGAGTGTGGACGTTGAGCGCATCAAGCGGCGCAAGCAAGAGGAAGAGGAGGAGCTGAACCGGCCCCTGAACGAGGATGAGCAGTCCTCCGACGCCGAAGAAGGATCAGAGGATGACGACGACGATGTGGACAGCATGCTCGCCAGCAGCGACGAGGAAGACGAAGACGCCTCCGACGACGAAGATGCAGACTCGGATTCCGGCAAGAAGAAATCCTCCTCCGAGACTCGCGGGCGCAGCAAATCATCCCTCCCAACAGCCACAGAGCGCGCAACCAGCCCCTCTCAATCGACCAAGAGCACCAACCTAAGTCTAGTCCCCGACGCTCTGGCGGCCAAATTCCCCTCCCTCTTCAGCACCGAGAACCCCAAGTCCCCCAAAATCCTCATCACGACGTCCCTAAACTCGTCCCTCCACCACGAAGCCGAGCTCCTCACCGACCTGTTCCCCAACTCCGTCTACGTCCGCCGCACGCGCCACCGCTTCGCGCACCAATTCTCCATCCGCGAGATCTCCAAATTCGCCACGAACCGCAACTTCACGGCGGTGGTGATCCTCCGCGAAGACCAGAAGAAGCCGGCCGGTCTGGACATCGTGCATCTCCCCACGGGACCCATGTTCCACTTCTCCATGACGAACTGGGTCGAGGGCAAGCGCATTCCAGGCCACGGGCGCGCCACGGAGCACTGGCCCGAGTTGATCTTGAACAACTTCCGCACGCCGTTGGGTCTGTTGACGGCGCACTTGTTCCGGACGTTGTTCCCACCGCAGCCGGATATCGAGGGCCGGCAGGTCGTGACAGTGCTGAATAGTCGCGATTATCTGTTCTTCCGTCGTCATCGGTATGTGTTCCGTGAGAAGAGGGAGACGGAGAAGGCGGTTGTGGGATCTGATGGAAAGGAGATGAAGGGGGCGGAGGGGATCAGGGCGGGTATGCAGGAATTGGGACCCCGGTTTACGTTGAAGTTGCGCAGAGTTGATAAGGGGATTCAGAGAGCTAGTGGGCAGGAGTGGGAGTGGAAGGGACAAATGGAGAAGACGAGGACAAAGTTCCAGCTATAGTTCTTGCTTCCTTCCTCCATGCCTTTTTTACTTATTCAGTATCTACCCGCTGTTGTCTTTGTTTCTTGCCATGTTCTGTGTCTAGCCTGTTGATGTTGTGCTCGACTGCATTGGGTTCGGGGCGTTAGGATAAAAAAGGTATATTCTGCTTGTTCACTTGCTTCTTATTATTGTATGTACGTTGGAGATATCACATCTATATGGTCTGCGAGAGAATAGATACAAAAAAGTCTGAACTGTCTCCATTGGAGTTCACATCTTCACAAGGAAGAAGCCTAATCGAAGTCCATCCGATCCACGGTATGGTATGAGTAATAAAGTAATCATAATCATAAGGTCATCAGCAGAATAGTAAGGAGAGATAGTAGAAGAAGGGAGGAAAAGGAATATCCCCATATCTGTTCACGTCAACGGCTTCCGACCCGTCACGATCTTCACCCTCGCACTAATTCGATACACACCTTCCAGGATCTCTGCACGCACCTGGTCACATAGTTCGCGCACTTCCTCCGCTAGCCAGCCATACGTAGTGGTCAGGGCACGCAAGCTATACGATTCCAAGCCCTCTAGTAAGGCAATGAGGCCCATTTTGCCGACGGTCCGGTCATGCGGCGACTCGGGCCACAGACCGATGGGGAATGTATACTCGCGGACGTCGATGTCGATGAACCCTTGGGCACGGAAGAGTGCAGGCTGAAGATGGCTCAGATCACGCAGGTAACCTGCCGAGTAGTCTGCGGAGCGGAGCGCGGAGGCAAAGAGACGGAGGTAGGAGTTCTGCGGGATGGTGGTCATGGTCTCAGCGGCGAAGTCGGTATCTGCGACTTCGAGGTAACCCCCGGGAGCGAGGTGCTCGAAGGCTTGCTGGTAGATGAAGGACCAGTCGGGGAAGGCGCCGGAGAGGCCGCGGAGGTGGATGAGGTCGAAGGGGATGTTGTAAGCCCATTCGTCGCGGGCGTCGTCGAGGTAGAAGGAGAGGTTGGGAAGGTCGACGTGGCCAAGGGCGTTGTCAAAGACGCCGATGTCAGAGGCGATGATGGTGCCGTGGGGGTAGGCGTGGCTCATTTCGATGGCCCAGTCACCAGGACCAGTGCCGATGTCGAGGATGCGAGGGGCATTGGTGACAATGGGGGCGGCGGTTAGATGGCCATTCAGGAGGATGAGGTAGATCTGGTGGACAATGTTCAGACGGGTTCGTTCGGCTTCGTCGTTGGGCATGTGGTATGAATCGTTGGGGTAGCGACGGTTATTCTCTTCGTAGATGTCGAGCTGGTGTGTTTCGTAGGAGTTGCTAGTGGTGATGTATGGTTAGCAACTCCACTGGTGGTTGGCACTGCAAGATACCAAGAAAGGTATTGCATACATGGATGCTTGGTCCGAGTCTGAATGTGACTGGGAGTTGGACTCGGGGTCCGGAGGAGGCTTGGTCCATGGTTGCTTCTGCGCATTCTCACTCTCGTCGGGCTCGACGATTGGCTCGTTTTGGCCCAACGGCTGGAGATCTTTTGCCTCCATGACATGACGAACTTGAGAGGAGTGTACGGTGAAGGGTACGGCGTGTTCAGGTTTATAGAGGATCTCCTCTTGAAGAAGGAGGCCGATGTAAGGCCCGATCAAGCTTAGGGCAGCACTTCCTATAGCAATCCTCTCAAGTTGCAACCACAAACAGGATCATATGAGTCCGTCAAACATGTGCCACGAGTACTGATAGCGAGCTTCACGGACACGTAGGTGATGAATAGTTCATCGTTCCTATTCCAGCCCAAGAGTGCAGGGAGCAAGGGAAAAAGCAAAGATGGCGGAAGATGCCGAGAATGACGCAGTTGGTCAAAGTATTGGAGGACAAACACGGAGACTTCCCAACGGCTTGGGGAATACGAGTGAATAGACGGACCCCGGATGGTCGGAATATAGTAACATTGGCTAGGCCTAGTGAGAGAACTCACCCAGGTGGGCCATGAACAGTGAGGGAGAGGAAGAGTAAAAAGCCGGAGAAAAGAATGGAAAGATGAAGTAGAAGCTTAGAAGGGCAGTTGATCAGCGCAAAGGCTGTGATAAACGACCCAAGGCCGCTGGACTAGTTCGTGCATAGCGCATGCTGAGAGGCCGAGAGAAGTCTCGAGACCCATCGATGCAGAGGCAGACTGGAAAGCCCCGTTTTGATCGACGGGAACGGGCCAGTTTCTGGGAAACCAACTGCAGTGCGACTAGGCAAAGCACACGAGACGCCATGCAGCCAGCGGTCCTTTCATTTCCCCCATTCTGGCAGCCGGGTGGTCGTTCCCTAGTCCTGGGTCGATTTTGGCCCGATCGCCTGGCTTAGTCTGGGAGCGTCGGGGAAGAGACGAATGGGCTAGCTGATAGGCTAGAGGGTCTTTTGTTGGGCGTGTAACCTTGTGAGTCTGTTCTTAGTGCAGTGTGGCGTCTGGCACAGCCTGCTGCTGAGGCTGTAGGGACAAGGGTGTGTGTCTCTGGTCGAACAGTTCTCCATAACAGCTTTAATATTAGTTAATGACTACCTGTTAGGTTAGTTATATTCTAGTATGAGTCAGAAAGTGAGTCAACTCAGCGGAATAAACATGCAAGCAGATCGTGTGGTCCAGTTCGTGATAGAGGAAAGAAGGAAGTATACAGTTCCTGCGATGATGAAATGAGTAGTATAGTATAGTATAGTATAAGAGAGAACCCAAACCCACACAAGTCAACGATGACCTCAAGAATAAATCACCACATCCACACAGCAAATATATGTCATGGACACCAATCCATCCCCATCAAGTGGAAACAACAAAGCAAAGCAAAGTAAAAGCAAGTTCCCGTCGATGCATGAGCCAGCAGCAGCAGTAGCAGCAGTGGTGCTGCACAGCACCCAAACCACGGAACAGGAACAGGAACATCACCAACTACCATCCGCAAAATCCACCACCACAACCACCACCATCACCCTCAACCACCACCCCGACAATTCGTCATCCACATCCACATCCACATCCTCAATGTCCCCGCCACCTCCCCTCAAAACCCCCCGGCGCTTCCTCTTCATCGCCTCAATCGGCAACCCACGCCCATACCGCACGACGCGGCACAGCGCCGGCCACATCCTCCTCGAAGCCCTCACACCACTCCTCCCACGCCGACTTCCTCTCGTGGGCGCCTCCCCCAACAATGGCAACATAGTCAATCCGCTATTCTACAAAACCTACACCAGCCCCACCTACATGAACGAATCGGGTCCCAAACTCCTCCGCAACTTTCAATCGTGGCTCTCATCCACCCAAACAGAAATATACCAGAAGATCGTGCAGCCGGGGAATGTACTCTCCACAAACACAACGCCCCATGACGCTGCATCAGACGCTGTAGCAGAATGGCACCTCCGCGGCACCGACCCCACAACCCTCCGAAACTTCTCCCCGACACTAGTCATCCTTCATGACGAATTGGAGGCGCCGTTGGGGAAAGTTCGGGTGAAGAGGGGCGGGCCGGAGAAGGCGAGCCTGAGGGGACATCGGGGGTTGATTAGTTCGTTTGAGAGTTTGAGGGGGAAGGGGCTGTATCCTCCGAATCCGAAGAAGAATGTCGTTGGAGCGGGGGTGGATTTGTCGGTGTTGAGGATTGGGGTGGGGATTGGGAGGCCCGAGACGAGGGATCGAGGGGGTGTTGCTAAGTATGTTCTGGAGGAGATGAGTGATCGGGAGTTGAAGGCTGTGAAGGCTGCCGCGGGGCCGGTTTTGGAGGTGTTGATGGATGAGTTGTATAGGGATGGTGCGGAGTGATTATTTGGGGTGCCTATGAAATGGGTTGTATGATATTGTTATTGCTGTGTAATTATAGATAGATTAGATAGAGGTGGTTTAGAGATACCCTTATATTATTAGACTTTGGCTTTTCCTGCATCTCCTACGTTCTGGTGTACGGATGTATGGGTTTAATTCAAGAACAACTCCAAAAGAAATAGTGTTAACAATAATACCAAGGCTTGGATGCAGAATGATTAAAGCGGCTATCATCGCACGCAGTTTAATGAACAGACAAAAGCAAAGAAACGAACCCCACTCCAATAGTATCACAAATGAACAACCATTAGACCGTGCCTGCTATGCTCAAATCCCGAATCTCCTGCAACACTTCTTCCACCCGGTTGTCCAGGTCTCCCCGGGCATACTGATCCCTCGTCTCCGCATCCAAGTACTGTTGCACCTGCGCCATGCGCGAATATGCCTCCGCGCAGAACCGCAATTGAATCTTCACCAGAGCCTCGAAGCTAGGATCCAGGTAGGGTACCCGCAGGTCAATGAGCTGAGGAAGTTCGGTGAAGAGCTGTTCGTTCAACTGCTCATACGCTTGCTTGGCAATTTCCGTCTCGCGCTCCATCCGAGGCAGTTTCGTCGCATCCTTATCGGGCTTCTCAACCAGCTTCTTGACCTTGGCGCGCATCGAATCGTAATCGAGTAACTTGTGGTTGCGCTTCTTAATGCACTCGTTGATATCCGGGAAGTAGGCACAGAACCGAGAGATGGGCTCCAACACAGTCGAGCTACGAATACCAGTCAACACATGAGTCGCAATGCCAAAAAAAGGGCGTCCACAGCAATAGATCCAACATACCGGTACGGGCCGTCCAGCGCCTTGATCGTTTCCGCATCCAGATCCTCCACAGCCTGCTTATAACTCCGACTCACACCATCATTTGTTCCGGCATCGCCATAGAAGGCATCAATAGTCTCAGCAATCCGCATCTGCGAGGCAGTCATAGCTGTCCATCACCGTCCGACGTCAGCATCCGCCTCCGCATCATAACCAACATTCTAGCGACCGGAAAATCAAAACACACCTCGTAGCGAATCCAAGTATCCCTTTGCCTCTTTCTGTAACCGGTTTGCGGCGGCTTCCATCGTCCGGTACCGACTGTAACGCATCGTGTCCATATTAGCCAAATAAGACCCCCTCGTATCCAATCAGTCGGACTATCCATACCGCTCTTCAATCTCATAATCGCGATCACTTGTGCGCTCCACATGTCCTGTTCAACCCAAGCCAGTGCGTCAGTGAATTCCACCTAGCACAAGCAAGCAATAATGCACATATATCGGGGAGTTTCTCCATCCCCAACTCGAGCGGGGTCCTGATCCAACATACCCGTCTTCATCATCACCTGCGTGGTAGCGCGGTTGACATTTTTCTTGAACCCTGTAGACCCAGTAAGATTGACAAGTCAGACGAGAGAGAGAATGGGTCCCTATAGCGCAGGATCCATCGATAGGTAGGAACGGGGAAGTATTCAGCGCACCTGCCCAGGACATGATGGCGACTTCAGTAGCGGTCGGTCGGGGAGGGGGATTCCAGTAATCGGGTAATCGAAGTGAGTTAGGGGGGTGGGGGGGGGGGGGGGGGGGGGGGGGGGGGGGGGGGGG